CACGGAATTTGATGATCTTGACAAATGGTATAACCATTGATAATAGACGTTGTTAAGACTGGAATCACATCTGGGATTTCACCAGGATCCAAATAATTCCAGTGAGCTTGTGGCAGTGCAGCTCTTTGTCACTGTTGATGTGTCTTGCAACGTGAACACATTTCCAATGTTTGCTTTGATGACAATTCGATTGGTAGTGCAATGCATTTTCGTTACGTCGTACTCTGTAAATATGATTTTGGATAGGAAAGTTTGGTGCAGACTTCACAGATTTTATGACAGAATGTGTTGATTGCATTGTCAAATGTTGTCATGTCAGCATTGAGTGCTTGAAGATGTTGCGATTGATAGACGATTTCGCTTTCATGTGACATCACGTGCTTCAAGTCTTTCTGCAACTCTGAATTGTCACGTGTGTTCACGCACAGATTGCAATCGACCATCACGAGTGTTTCTTGATTTATTGATTCTATGTGATGTTGACGGTCTCGTTGAAATTGGACGTTACGTGCTTGTTTCATCATGAAAATGATCACGTCGTTTGTCAAGTCTGGCGCGCTTTGCCTCTTCATCTTAATTTTGCACGCTTTTCTTGGTACTTTGCCGAGCCTTTTCTAACCGTCGCTTTGTTGCGTAGCAGTTTCATTTTTGCTTTCTCTTCCCATGATCCGTTGTTTGTTTACCATTTGTCGTTACCGTAGGTCCTTGTTTTTTGTTTGATTTGTCGGTTTGTAGAGGACAAATGATTTTGGGTCAAAGAGTGGCTGGCAATTTGTGATAAGTCGGGGCTTGAACTCACGAGATGAGTTAAAAATGTTAATATAAAAGTCACATTTCCCAACCTCAGTCAACTTATCAAGCACAGACAACTCACTCTAAAATGTGCTAGAGTTTAAAGATCTATATAAAGTACCAAAAATGTTAATTGAAAAAAAACCCTACAAATTTCATACCCAAGATTTGAACTTTGAGCTTGAGATCGAAAGGCCAACATTCAAATGATTTGTCGACCACAAACAGCTTAATTAAAAAAATGGATAAAACATCAATACAAATGTTAAAATGTCACTTTCAAAGGGGTTAGTGCAAAAATGAAGTCATTGACCCTGTCTTTGCATTGTCCCATTGGATGCACTACATCATAATAAATAACTTTTGTAAACACACCAAATAATTTGATGTGACTGTTTACCTTGAAGGAAAAAATTATAAATAATAGTACGAAAAGAATATGTTCCAGGCAAGTTTCGAAGTGTCGACTCCTACGTTGGGATTAATATATATTAACAAAACCTGTTTGCAAAGCACTCGTCGAATAAGGCTTCAATACCAAATATTAATTGGTTTAAACGAGGCAAGTAATTGATTAATTGTTGGCGATTTTGATTCAGGCATGCATTGTCTGGATGTCAGTGTGTGCAAAATTTGGGATCGATTGGACAACGGTAACTGGAGGACATTTTGATTGCAAGATTTGACGACATACAATGAAATTTGTTTTCACAACTTCGTTTAACTCACCGTCGAGAAGTACATCAATTATGTGGTGCCTGCTCCCAGATCAACGCTTACTTGAATTAATAGGTTATTTTATAAATTAATCTTCAATGTACCACTATTGTATGGAGGGTGCCTGTAAGCTTTTGACACAGAGCAGGCGCGCCTGAGACACGTGGCGCCTGAGAAACGTGGCCCTGCTTCTTGGGCGAGCCGATTCCAGAGTTTAGGGACCGCGGCGTTTTTGACCATCACAAAAATATATAATTAACAAGTCGTCCATACAAAAAGTGAATTGCTTTCAAGGAGCCAATTAAATTATTATTAGATATAGGCATGCATTGTCACCGGATCTGAGTACGTGTGCAAAATTAGGGATTGATTGGACAACGGGAAGCTATCGAAATGTAAATGACAAGATTTGACGATTTGACCACGACACAGGAGTCCAAGTTAAGTAAAACCGTTGAAAAACGTTAAGTTTCATTACGTACACGTGCTAATGATATGTCATTTATACCTAACTGCAGATTTTTTTGTTGTTCTTTTTTTTTGTTCTCTCCAATTACACCTCCATTCCAGGTGGTATTCATTACCAGGCCAGAACCTGTGCCACACAAGCACAGTGCAATGCGTTCGACTTCAAGGACCAGATGAAAGAGTACATCCTCGGAAAACTGCCGACGTTCGTTGGCACCGTCGATAGCACCTCCTGCTGCCAGACAGATCGTTGCAACGACGGTAATAAAACAAAAACTCTGTGTTTTGGTTGTTTTTCCTGAAAAACCTAAATGCGGTTACCATACAGGCTGTCCCGGGGATACGAAACTTCCAGGCTTACGAACGCCCGCATGCTTACGAACGCTCGCGCGCTTACGAACATTCCCCGTAAGATGAACCGCGGAACTACTTTGTTCGGCGGAGCGATCCTCCGCTAGATGTGACGAGGCCCCCACGTCATCCCGCGTTGTTGCCACGCCCCTTCCGACAAGCGAGCTAGCATCAGGACTCAGTGAGCGGAAAAAATTACCGATAATTTTTTTCATGTTACCTTTATTTTATTATTTTACTTTCATTCTATTCACTATACAGTATTTATTGCAGTATTACGTGAAAATGTACAATGTCTTATTTGTGAGTTTAACTATGCTTCCTTGCTTTTATTGAAACCGTATCACTTTCTTAATGGGACTGATCGTATTTACTGTACAATTAACTCTTGAGTTCTAAGATACGACAAAAAATCTACTTGCGAACGTCTCTCGGGAATATAAAACCTGTTCCTTCATAAGTCAAGGACTCTCTGTATGTATGTTTGGGTCGTGTTCTTGAAAACCTGAACCGTGTACTGTTAAATAAAACCGTACCATATAATATCACCGTGTTTTCACGTAATATCCAATTGTATTTCCTGATGGGCGATTTGACCCAAAGCTCAAATGAAATAAAACATTTCGACACAGCTGAGACATTATCATGCATGCATATGGATTCTGAAAATTAGACATGTGATTGAAAGTAAAAACAGTTAGTTATCCTGTAACCCTGTGCTTCCATAGCGCGAATTGGATTTGCAAAGTGAAGAATGTATTACAGGGATTTTTTTTAATGAATTGGATGCAACGTGATCGAGTGAGCGGAACTACGTCGCAGCGTGAGTCAGAATAAGCGGTCATACGGCTGCCTCGGCATAGCATCACACAGGGTATTGGGATGCTGCTGGATACTTCTAGAGGCTACCCTATACGCGCCTCCATTCTTTGTTCGGCCTGCGTTACGTATAATCTCGCGCGTTATCGAGGACTGTGCTTTACCTCCTATAACTATATGTTATAACAAAATTGAGCGAACTTGAATTGTCACTTGAGAAGGAATAAGCACAGAGACAATTTCAACCGAGAAGATGGATTCTGGCTTAGCAATCACTGGAAGGATTTGATAAACCATTTCAGGTCTTAATTGATTGTTCACGCTTACGGTGGCTTTCAGACAGCATACATAAATTTTTCGTCTCCCCCCTCCTCTTTTCAGAACATAGATGGACTCGTCCTTCTAAATAAACTGCCAAATCGCTGCCCGGGGCGCTAACGATTTTTTTAAAATAAATAAATGAAACACCGTTTATAAATAAATAAATGCAAACCGACACTTCTTTCAAATGTTTCTTGTCGTTGCTTTTCACACCTGATGATGACCGTTTGTTTTATGGTCGAAACGTCGTGAGAATGTTTTTATTGTTTTATATATTTTATTGTTTCCCTTTAACGTGACTTTACCGAAAGAGCTAATAATATAAAGGAATAAGCAGTCGTAATACGGTGTAGCATCGTCATCATTGCAGAATGCATTGGGACGCTTCTGGATGCTTCTAGTCACTGCTACCTTAAACGTTCAGGTCCTGCATTAGGCATCATCTCATACATTATCTCGGACTGTGCTTTATTATTACAACGCGATTGTCATATAACACGGTGGTCTTCAGGAATGCAACAACTACCATATGTTATAGGAGAACAGACTGTAATCTGCACTGTAATTTTCTAACCAGAAACTGGTGCACATCGTGTGAGGTGTTGGAGGGGTGTGGCTGTTACCTGGAGAGTGACTATTACCTGGAGAGTGACCATACTCAAAGTGAGGTCTAGTGGGCGCCACGATGGCTCGGAGATGTTAACTACCTCGCCTGGTATGCAGGAGGTTCGTGAAGTTCGACCTGGACGATGCATGCTGCTGTTATACGTGGAGGTTGTGTCTCTCTATCCCCAGTGGTGGCCGCATGGATTTTTAAGCCGGGTCCTTCGGTTTTTCCCTTCACATTTAGAAACACGGGTTTAGAGTATTTTGCTGATGTAAATTTCCACGTGAGCATATCAGTCACTTCGCTGAGTTGCTATCATCTGTGATGGCCAGGTGGCTTCTGAAAAATAGCTACAATGTAACAGCTCAGTGGGGCCTTACACTTAGTAAAAAAAAGGGTTGAGTTTAAATACTAATATGCGTCCTTTGTACAATTTTGCAGCTACAACTGTTTACTGCAGAAGCGGAAGTGATGATTTGGGGATTCATGAAAAATCATCTAAATGTGCAATCGGGCGAGACTCATGCGTGACGATGCAACTGACTCAGAGTAAGTGCTTCTGGGTCAAGGCTGCTGTATATTTGGAGTCTGCGTCTATCTCTCTCCCCCTGGATATGCTATCTCCCTCGCCTGGTATACATTAGGCAGTGGGTTCAATTCCGGACCGTGACGATGCCTGCTGTATATTTGGAGTCTCTCCCCGTGGTGGTCACTGCATAGATTTTCCTTCGGGTCCTCCGGTAATATAAGCATTGTGCTTAGAACCGATTGGCCTACACCAGAGACAGCAGCATTCTAAAGGGCCTTGTCTCTGCACCAGTGTCAGACCAGAGAACAGCACCAAAAGGTGAATGGTGCAAAGACAATGCCAAGTATCAGAGCACTTACAGCTCGTGTTGAGCAAAGCTTACATCTATGGCATAGCTTTGATGCCAGTATAAAATAATGAAAAGATAAGAATAGGCTTTATACCCTTTTTGGAAATAAAGCAGGAGTTGTGTTAAGATGTTCAAACACCAAATAGATATTTATTGTGCAGCATCATGTACGGCATTAACCACACACAGTACTTGTGGTAAACATGCAAACGAATGTGCTGTAATAATGTATTGTAATATATCAAAGCCTGTTATTTTATTGTTTCCCTTCTACGTGACTTTACCGAAAGAACCAAGAATATGAATCCCTGCAGTCACGAAAGCTTTAAATCAAAACTTAATACATTTGTCACAACACCGCGATGGCTAAAACCCGAGAGAGGGAATGGCTTTGCTGTACTTGTACATAATCCTCTTATTTTTACATTTTGGGACGTGCTTTGCCAAATACGACAACAAAAACGTTAGATTTAATTACGTACACATGCAAAGTATATGTCGTTTATACTTAACTGCAGATTTCATTTTTCTTCTCTCCAATTACGTCTCCATTGCAGATGGTGTTCGTTCTTTGGCCAGAACCTGTGCAACAAAAGCACAGTGCGATGCGACCGACTTCAAGGACCAGATGAAACAGTACATCCTCGGAAAACTGCCAACGTTCGCTGGCACGGTCGATGGCACCTCCTGCTGCCAGGAAAGTTATTGCAACCACGGTAATAAAATAAACTCACGGTGGTGTACTTCAATGCTTCTGGGTTGTTTTCCTGAAAAACCTAATGGCAGTGAAAATGCAGTACCATACAGGCGGTCCCGGGGATACAATACTTCCGGGCTTACGACCGCCCGTGTGCTTACGAACGCCCGAGTGCTCACGAATAGCTGCATGCTTACGAATGCCCGCGCTTACGAACATTCCCAGTAAGATGAACCACGGAACTACTTTGTTTGGCGGAGCGATCCTCCACTAGATGTGACGAGGCCCCACACCCCACGTGATGCAATCCCCTTCCGACAAGCGAGCTAGCAACAAAACTGAAACCTTTTTACGAGGATTCATGTTTGCATTAACCACAATCCCTGCGGTCAGAATGCAAACAAAGAACACACTGATAATGTATGCATTGTCCTTGAAATTGATTGGTCCACACCAGAGACAGCTTTCCTTAGAGCCTAGTCCCATATGGTGTTCAACCAGATGACACCAAAAGGGCCCCTAGGGGGCATAGTTCGGGTGACAGAGAGAGGTTCGGTAAGGACCCGAGAAGGCACGTGACCGGATGAGGTAGTAAAGATGGCCAAAGACGAGGTGAGAGGAACACATGATGTGGGCCCAGAGTCTCCGAAAAGGATCTGGAAAATGGCGTGTCCAAGGGCGGAGCCTGGCCACGCCGCAACCCATTAAGGCCGAGTCCCAAGAGCGATCTTTGCTGTTTGTCTCTGGGAATGGAATCCGCCGGCTACGTCTTCGGTCTTCGGGCATCATGCACGGCATCGTGGACCAGGCAGGGTGTTAGCTGACCTGGTCCAAGTATATGTAGTTAGCCTGTTGAGTGGTTACGTAGCTAACTGTGGCGGTCACCACCTTACATCGTTATCCTGTTGAGTGGTTATGTAGTTATGCGTGGTGGTTACCACGCTATATCGTTATCCCGGCAAGTGGTTATATAGTTACCCCGTTGTATTAAGAATAAACGTGTTGCCTCCAAGTTCGAGTGTGCGTCTTTGTGGAATCCACTACAACTGGTATCAGAAGTGGTAAAAATTACACAGTGATAGCCCAGGGTAGGTGTACTTTTCACGCGAAGGAAACAACTCACCAAGACGTCTTCAGACAACAAAGACTACGAGGGGGATCATTCCTCAGACAGCCCTGGGGATCGCAGCCCCGGAGAGAGGGTGCGAGGCGGTGCTGCAGGCGGAACAATGGGTCGTCCATCACGCCGCCCCTTCGCCGCCGTCAAAGAGAGAGCGCCAGGCGCACCGCGCTCGCCTCGCCGAGAGCTGCATGCAAACCGCAACAGCGCTGGTCGCCGAGCTCAACCTGGAGGAGCCGGCGGCGGAGCATCGGAGCGCAGGAGCCACGGGGCATCGACGACGACGCCGCTGCTGCTGCCGCCGCTTTTCGCGCGCGGGAAAATTTGGACGTGCAGCCTGCGCACGGAGCGGCCATTTTGGAGGTCGGGCGGTACGAGGATCCCGCTAAATTGGAACTCCCGCCAAAAAAAAAACGCTTGAAGTCCCATCACTCAAGCGACTGCTCCCCTTTGTGTAGGAATTCTCCGGAGCTGGTGGCAATTAGGAAGCATTTCATCGCCGTTTCTACGCAAATTGTGAGTTGGCTGGATGGAACGAGGTGGAACCGCTGCGGGCGCTCCCCACCGCTCTTGATGATGATGATGCCTTGGCTGCGTTCTATGCCATCCCGCCGACTGAGAGGCTCACGCTGCCAACAGCATTCACCCCAATGGCGGCCATCTACGATCCGCCGTCCAACGTTCAACACTGGTTTACCGCGTGGAGGCGGGGGGGGATGACCCGAGATGCCCATCGCCTTGCGCAGTGCTCTCTTGTCGCTGCTGGCACTGGCACAAGAACTTGGTTGCACGAAGCATCCAGGTGCATCTTAATTTAAAACGAGTTGCTGGAGTGGCGGCGTGCACCACACCTTCCGAGGTGGTTGTTGCACCGGAAGACAAGGAGGACCTCCCAGTATGCGCTTCCGCCGACGACAGGGATTGGAGGAGAGGCGACGCAGAGTGACGAGCAAGGTAAGACCAGTTGAGTTGGAGACATTCTCTCCGCCCGGTGCGCAGATGCTTGTGCCACTGCGGCTGCAAAAGCAGCTCGACCGGGAAGCGACCGCGGGAGGAACCCTATTGGGACCCTCGAATAAAGTTGCCTGGGGTTTGGCACTAGTGGGGGCTCAGATATTAGTGTCCAATGACCAGGAACCTTTTATTCTGGTCCCGAACGCGGGGTTGGACACGTCTGTAATACAGGCGGGCACTGTTTTAGCCCATGCGTCAGCTGCGACTTGCGAGTCCCGAGAGCGATCTTGGCTGTTCGTCTCTGGGAATCGAATCCGCCGGCTACGTCTTCGGTCTTCGGTTACGTAGTTACACGTGGTGGTTACCACCCTTTATCAAGTGTTAATATAGTTACCCCGTTGTATTAAGAATAAACGTGTTGCATCCAAGTTCGAGTGTGTGCCTCTGTGGAATCCACTACACATGTGATTGAAAGCAAAGGCAGTCAGTTATCCTGTAACGCTGTGTGTTGTTTTCATACCGCGAATTGTATATGCAAAGTGAAGAATGTATTAGAGGGAAAAAAATTTGAGAATTGGATGCAACGTGATCGAGCGAATGTAACTACGTCGCAGCACGAGTAGGAATAAGCGGTCACACGGCTGCCTCGGCATAGCATCAAACTTCTTCTTTCGTATGGCATTGTGAAAAGCAACAGTTTTTATTTTTTCTCAATGATCGTCATAAACAAACAGGGTATTTGGATGCTGCTGGATAATTCTAGAGGCTACCCTATACGCGCCTCCATTCTTTGTTTGGCCTACGTTACATATCATCTCGCACGTTTTCGTGGGCTGTGCTTTACCACCTATAATTATATATTATAACACAATTGAGCGAGCTTGAATTATGTCACGTGAGTGGGAATAAGTGGTCGTAATACGACTGTTACCTCGGCGTAGTATCATCATCGTCGTCGCACAATGCATTGGGATACTGCTGGATTATAATAGTCGCTGCTACCTTAAACGGTCAGGTCCTGCGTTACGCGTCATCATCTCATGCGTTATTGCGGACTGTGCTTTACCACTTTCATTATATTGAGTTGTTCTTTCGGTAAAGTTACGTAGAAGGGAAACAATGAAATAAAAAATATAGGTCTATTATTTATATATTTTTTATTATTTTATTGTTTCCCTTCTACGTGACTTTACCGAAAGAATCAAGAATATGAATCCCTGCAGTCACGAAAGCTTTAAATCAAAATTTCACTTTATATTATGTATTATTACAATGCGATTGTCCATTAACACGGTGGTCTTCAGGAATGCAACAACTGCCACCACGTTATAGGAGAACAGACTTACTCTGCACTGTAACTTTCTAACCAGAAACTGGTGTACATCATGTAAGGTGTTGGAGGGGTGTGGCTGTTACCTGGAGAGTGCCTATACTCAAAGCGGAGGTCTAGTGGGTGCCACGATGACTCGGCGATGTTAACTACCTCGCCTGGTACGCAGGAGCTCGTGGGTTTGCTCCAGAATCTCATGGTGCCTGCTGTATATTTTGAGTTTGCATGTCTCTATCCCCTTGCTCGCGTGGATTTTTCTCCGGGTCCGGTTTTTCCCTCCAGACTTAAGATCAACGTCACCACACGTTTACAATCTTTGGCTGCTGCTAGAAATGTTCACGTGATAAGCCACATTGCTGAACTGCCATCATTTGTGATGGCCAGGGTCGTTTCTGAAAAAATGCTACATAGCTCAGTGGGGCATTGCCTGGTAAAATAAAAGTTTTTAGTGTTCGTTTTATAGTTTAGGTTTAGAGTTACGAATTCACTTTTTTCCTGCTCACTTCAGCCGAAGTGCAGCATGGTGAGGTTATGGATGAATACCGCAAATCGAGGCGTAAGGTGGGCCTAGCCAAATGTGTAAGTCTAGGCCTAGCCTAATATACAGTAAATGAACATTCGGAAGTGACTGCTCTTTGTTAACAATTAATAAAAAATGTTTCGTGGTATTTATACATAATTGGATACAGTTTGTTCCATCAGTTTAATTATGGCAAGTGTTATGGTAGATATTCGATGTATTGAAAGAATCATAGGAAGTGCAGAGCATATGTACAGCGATATGATACAGGTAGCGATAGCGTGGTACACGACAGTGCGTTACAGTACCGAGGGAAAACGGTAGAGGAGGCTACAACCATTTCCGGCTTTTATCTTGATTTAGGGAGAAAATTGTCTAGTTTACAAAATATGGAAAATCCTGGTTTTGGATCGTTCTATGGAACCTAACCCTTCCGTAATCCGGGGACTGTCTGTATTATGGATCATTCGTGGCAAGTGCTTTGTGTGTGTATGAGTGCAATCTGCCATTGTGACTACATTCACATGATTTAGTATGCTTCCTTCCACGTTTTGCAGTTACTCAATACTGTTATTATGGAAGTGTCGGTTTGGGAGTTGATGAAAAGGACAAGCTCTGCCCTTCTGGACAAGATTCATGTGTTACTGCACTGCTGATGCAGGGTAAGCTATTCCAGCGAGGCCTTGATTTAGCTACACACATGCATGCAGTGATAGGGGTATTGGGTAGTGGTAATGACAGGAATAGAGATAGGGGTAGTGATAGTGGTGGTGATCGAGGTGAGTGATAGGGGTCATCACATTGCGAACTTTCAGATGCACTTTGCGGTCGCCTTTAACGCTCTTGCTTCTGATATTAGGAATCCACTGGGAGCTGTGCACTTTTAAATAATTGAGATTGACGAACGTATTTCTCTAGAACTGCTTATTGAGGTGTATTTAGTTTGTCGTCCTTACCCCGCACCTCCGATTAGCGCAACAGTTGGGCTGCGTTACGTTGTGGCATTTATCACAGGGCATGATGCGGAAAAACGTGGAGAGATGATCAGAAGTCTTTCCTGTCTCTTACAGCAAGGTATTAACAACTTTATTGCGATGCAAATGCAGCCAGTCTACAGCAAGGTATTAACAACTTTATTGCGATGCAAATGCAGCCAGTCTACCCTGTCCCTCTAACGAGGTGGGGGGGGGGGGGTCGTATCAGCTAAATAGACGACCGCAACAATGATTACAAAATAATTTAACTAGGTCGACGACGATAAATAATAAAGGTTTTTGGGTTAGATCACGTTATTTATAAATGTGTCGTAACCCTCCACCACCCGACACGGCCAATCAGCAAAAAAGTGTCACGTTGACAAAAGACAAATAGTTCACTACTTTAGCCCACCGGTGTGTTGAAGAGTGAATCTACAACATTTACAGATTGAGTACGCCGTTTCGCTGGTAATTTCATCCAGCATCATCGGGCAATTCTGGCGAATTGCCCGATGATGCTGGATGTAAATGTTGTGGATTCACTCTTCAACACACCGGTGGGCTAAAGTAGTGAACTATTTGTATTTTGTCAACATGACACTTTTTTGCTGATTGGCTGTGTCGGGTGGTGGAGGGTTACGACACATAAATAACGCGATCTAACCCAAAGACCTTTATTATGAATAATATTGGTCGCGAAAGCCTACATGTTAAACTGACGATGAATAAATTGATATACTCTGTGTTGTGTTCTGTCTCTCCCGAAGAGAAAGTGGGCGATTCCAAAACAGCTGAGCACCAAAGGGGGCGTTTGTGGGACGGCAAAAATTTCATTTCAAAAGGTTTAATCTCTAACGGGCAATTGCGTATCTGCAAGAGCGACCTGACACTTCCCTCGTCACCCCTCCATGTCGCACAACGCCGCAGCTCAATTCCTCCGGGTGTAAATGGAATCGAGCACCGGTGTTCATATTCCAGATGCAATTATTACAAGTATTTACTTATTAAAATACACTTTAATATCAACGTCTTAATCGTGCAACATCTTGATTACCACCAATAACTGACCGGTCAATTAACATTACCGAGATCCTCCTGTCAGTCGATGGACATTCAAGCAATTTAATTTTAACAGTTCGATATATTATCGGAGCTATGCAGCTTAACAGCATGAAAATCTGCCAAAATCGAAATTGGGGGGTGTGTGCCCCGTACTATACTGTGCACACAGGGCCTCGGGGACCGATCCCTGTTCACCATTGCCTTCTCTTAAATAATAATAATAAAAACGCACCTGGCTGTGGCATAGCTTTTAGCAGAGTGCACGATTATATGTGCGATCAATCACAGTTAAGCTCACACACATACACCCTGGCTAAACCAAAGCACATTACCGTTTCCGCTCTCAATTCGCATGCGTTTGTTTTGCAGGCGACCGAATGTTCAAGGGCAAAATTTGCGCCAACCAGGCACAATGTAACGCACCCGACTTTAAGACGCAGATCAGACAATCCATCGTGGGCATGAAGCCCTCGTTCACGGGCATCGTCAAGTACTACAGCTGCTGCCAGTCAAAAAACTGCAATTACGGTAAGTTGGGATTTCGAATTATGGATTTCCACTCTCACCCCCCCCCCCCTCCTTTATTTCGTGGGTTACCTGCTGTCAAACCTTATCGACAAATGTTAAACTAGGACTCATCTCTCTCTTATTTTGTGGTTACGTACTGTCAAAACCTTACTGACAAAAGGAAAACTAAACTAATCCTCATCAAGCGACAGGCAAAATTGGCCGCTGGTTGTTGTTGTAATCACACCCCAAGCGAAACATCACCAGCTACACAATTGTGTAAATGTGTGTTTGTGGCTTGAACTCTCCAACATACAACAACCGGTTAGTGCTGAATTATTAAACTAAATCGTCACGCTTTGTTTAAGACCGAGACAGGAGGAGGATTTCTCCACAACTCTGGCTGTTGCCTGATGATGCTGCTAGTTGTACTTACTGGCGAAAAATCACGGCACTCGATTTTTAAATGTTGTAGTGGGTTTACTCTCCAACACACAACCGGTGTGCTGTACTTGTGTAAAGAAGCTCCGACGAGTTGTGAAAGAAGAGAAAGGTACGACCTTTTATTAAGTTACATGGAGTTTTCACAACTCGTGACGAGTAACGCATCAGCGGAGCGCACACACCCTCTAATCAATTATCCCTTCACCACGTGTCTTCTCTAGCTACACCACCCTCTCATTCATTATCCCTTCACCACGTGTCTTCTTTTGCTACAGTACCCTCTCTGTCTCTCTCACTTGCTGATGCGAGCGTGGTTTGTTTTGTTGTTGCAGTCACTGCAAAGATCTGCTACTACGGGAGTGCCGGACTGGGAATCACCGAAGAATATAAGTTCTGCGCGGCAGGCGAAGACTCCTGCTTAACCACCACCCTAACGCAGGGTAACGGTTTGGCCTGGGAAGATGATTTGGACGACCATTGTCATACGTGTCAAACCATACGGTTTACACGTATTCTTGTACAGGGAAATTTAGTTTTCAGGACCATATGCCCCACAGCCATTTCAAAGTGGGCAAAACATAGTTTTTGTCTGTGTTTCTGCCTTGTGATGGGACTGTAGGATAATATTTATAAGGACATGGGGTGACCAATAAGGTCTGAATTGGTCTGTAATAAGGTAGGCACTGATAAGGGGTTGGCATGTATGCTTTGCATACCAATCTTGCTTCCTAACCCCTTGCCAGCTCCGGTCCCTAACCCCTATGCTTCACCAGTGCCCCCTTCAGACAAGTACTGCGGGTTTATAAACAATGACAACATAAGGGAGGGGGTAGGAGGCACTGCAGCTGGTGAGGGGATGTTGAAGATTAGTCATGGATACAGTCACATTTTCCCATGTGATTTGTAGATTTAATTCCTTAATGTATTGAGTTCCATTTTAACGTAAAAAAATATTTAAGGACTGTGTCTTGGTGTGGTCTGAGGCAGATTTTGCTGTTAACTGCCCCATTTCCGAAGCTTAAGAATTTATTATGCAATTTGAACTTATATACTAAATTTATTTATTTAAAAGGTGCTACGGTGGTGAGATGTTACATTCCTCACCTGGTATGCAGGATGTCGTTTGTTTGATCCTGACGCCTGCTGTATATTTGAAGTTTGCATGTTCTCCTCGCAGTCACTTGGATTTTTTTCTCCAGGTCCTCCGGTTTTTTCCTCCACATTTAGAAACATGCATTGAGATAATTTAAATAATTTCACTGCTACAAATGTCCGAATGATGGGCCACTTTATTGAGCTATCATTTGTGAAAGCCAGGTTACGTCTGAAAAATTACTTAATACCTCTATGGGCTTTACCTGGCAGCATGGGCATTGCTTAGTTTCATTTCTATATGTCCGGGTGATTTGTTTACTTTTATTGTACTTTGCGCGATTATTGTGTTTTTTATTGTTCGTTTTTGTAACACTCTTATCCCGTGTCTGTACTGGACATCTATGAAGAAGAACTTTATATCTCATTGGATTCCTCCTGGAGTGTAAATATATATTCTGATAAAAGGGGGAGTCAATGTGGAGAGAGAACTAAACGAAACTTTTTAAATAATTTGCACGTGATAATCCACTTTGTTCAGCTCTCATTTGTAATGGCCAGGTCGCTTATGTAAAAAAAAAGCTACGTAGCTATGAGCCTTACCTGCTCAATTAAAAATCGTTGAGTTTAGTATTTGGCTGCTATACATTTCCACGTGATTATCGGGAACTTCATTAGCTGCTATAATTTGTGATGGCCAGGTGGCTTGTCTGAATAATAGCTACATAGCTCAGTGGGGCCTTAACACCTAGTAAATAAAATAAAAATGTTTCTAGTTTAGTGGGACCAATTCTCCAGATTAAGTGACTTTGACATGCTCTGGGCAGGGGTGGTTACGTGGGGGGGGACAATAAAACTCGGTCCCGGTCACTACAACGTTGATCTAAACAGTTTGCGATCGCCTCCTTGTTTTGCAGGTGGCAAAACATTCCAAGCCAGGGGATGCGGCATCAAAGCGGAGTGTGAGACGTCTGAATACAAGACGCAGATAAAGCAATTCATCACCGGCATCGCCTCGTCGTTCGACGGCACCGTGAACAATTACACCTGCTGCCAGACCGATCTCTGCAACGGCGGTAGTGGATTGCAATTGACGGACAGATTGTTTTACCCACCTCCGTCTTATTTCTGTAATGTGGTGTATGCCTGTGTGTGTACGTTGAACTTCATGTCGCACCGTGCTAATCGGAGGTGTGTGGGAAAGGACGATGAACTTAAAACAAGCAATTAGAAAATAAATGTGTTTTGAAATAGTATAGTGGGGTAATGTGTAGTGTCATCATCATAGGCGATCCCTCGCAATCGAGGATGAGTGTCTTCCATAGAAAAGTTTAATTATCTTTGGGTCTTAAAATACCTCAAGGGTGGTGGGTGGAACTGGATAAGTAATTTCGGCTACAGTATGCTGTTTCCGCCATTCCCGCTTTTCCTCTTCGTGTTTCCACCGTTGAGTTTCAGTATGTTTGGAACCTTGAAATAGACTGTCTGTGTGTCTCCAGCTGAGGTGATACTGGGCAAGAGTCTCCTATGAATTGGTGTCGATAGTGCACTTCTTCATGTTGGCCTTCAGAACATCCTTGAAGTGCTTTATCTGCCCTCCTCTTGAATGCACACCCCGAAATAAGCTGGAGTTGGGCAAGACGTCGAATGATCGTGCCCTCAATTCTCGTGGTGTTTGTTTGCAAGAAGACGCTGGCGTTTGTGAGTCCGTCTTCTCACTTGATTTGAAGGATCTTCTGCAGGCAGCCTTGATAGGACTTCTCCAGTGCTTTAAGATGTCTCCTATATTTTATCCACGTCTCAGTTCTGTACAGAAAGGTAGAGATTACGATTGCTTGGTAAACCATGATCTTGGTTTTGGACCTAATGTCAAATTTCTCAAACACCCTTTTCCTCATCCGACTGAAAGCAGCACAGACACATTTCAGAGGATTTTGGATTTATTTACCAACATCAGCATTCCATTAAAAAAGGTATGGGAAATACTGATTTTCCAGTCTCACCATGGATGTAAATTGTTGGAAGTGGGGACTGCTCATTGATAACTGATTGATGAAGGACCTTCGTCCTTAAAACATTAAGCGTCAGTCCCATTTTCTCATGTGCCTTAGTAAAGTTTTGATTGCCTGAAGATCCACCTCCATGTGGGCACACACGACAGCATCGTCAGCATGCTGGAGTTCAACAACTACTGCTGTCGGGATGGTCTTAGATTTAGATCGAAGTCGGTTGATGTTGAACAGCTTAACATCAATTTGTTAGTTTGTCTCCACTCCTGCTCGAAGCTTACCAGTAGTTAGCTGTAGCATCGTAGTGAGGAATATTGAGAAGAGTGTTAGGGCGATGGCGCAGCCTTGTTTGACTCCAGTCTTAACTTCAAAGTGGTGTGAGATGGATCCATTACTAAGAATCACTGCTCGCATACCATCATGCAGCAGGCGAATGGTGACAAATTTCGGTGGACATCCTTACTTTTCAAGGATCTCCAGTGTTTCCTCGGTTGACAGAATCAAAGGCTTTCGTGAGGTCAAAGAAGTCCATGTAGAGAGGTTTGTGTTGTTCCTGACATTTTTCCTGCAGTTTATGGGCATCGAAAATCATGCCAGTTGTGCTTCCCCATGGCCTGAACTCACATTGGGATTCTGGGGGGGAGTTGATCAGTAAGTGGCAGAAGACGGTTCAGGAAAGTTCTTGCAATGATCTTTCCTGCAGTGGACAGCAAGGCGATCCCCCTGTAATTTCCACAATCGGTTGTATGTCCTTTCATAAAGATTTTCACAATCATGGCATCTCTGAGGTCATTCGGGATGTCCTCGTATTTCCAAATTTTCAACGTGAGCGCTTGGAGCAGTAAATCGAGCTCCTCTCCTTTTCTGAAGATTTCAGCAGGAATTCCATCAGCTCCCAGGTGCCCTATTGCTCTTCATCTGCTTGATGGCTTTCGTCACTTTATCAAGGGTTGAGGGGTTCCAAGCTCATTTCTGATTGGATGTTGTGGAATGGAGCGGAAAACACTATCATCGACAAACGAGTCTCGATTGAGCTTATTTTCAAAATTCTCCTTTCAGCGGGTGTTGAGTTCCCTCTCCTTAATCAGATCTCCTCCATTCTTAGGCCTCAGTGGGGGGTTGGTCCCTGAGTGCTCGGACCATTGGCGGTTCTGGTGGCACTGAAAAATCCACGCATATTATAGATGTCGGCAAGATGTTGGATCTCCTTCACTTTGTCTTCCCACCATCAGTGTAGTGTACAGAAGTGTAGAATGTACATTTAACTTTTTTTAGCACCGTACGTAGACAACCGTGCTAATTGGAGATGCGGGGGAAGGACAACAAACTAAACACAAAAAGCAGTTCTAAAGAAGTGAGTTTGTCAGTCGAGATTATTTAAAAGTGCATATCGCCCAGTGGCATCCTAATATTAGAAGAGACCCACAAAAACCCACCGAGACCCATACTGATATGTGTGTAGGTTGAACTTTTTTCACACTGTACATAGCCAACCATGCTAATCAGAGGTGCAGTTTTGAGGCTATGGTGCATTGATGAGTCTATTGGCAGTGAGTATATGGGTAGTGTTGAGCCTATGGGTAGTGTTTTTTTTTTGCCTGATGACTACTGATGCTTGTGTTGCATTCAAAACGTCGTGATTTGTTTAATTTTATTTCTACCTACGTGACTTTACCGAACG